GCAGCTTTTGTTTTATTTTTGTATGATTGTCGGGCGGTATGTTATCGATCTTAAGCTAGGTAGATTTTGTGGGCGTTAATGGAAAATTGGGTGTTTAATAAAAAGCACATGTACAAAACTATAGTCGACAGAGTTTTTCACACAGCATGTTAAAAGTTGGTGTAATCATAAAGATAGCCATTTTAAAAAGTAAATAATGTAAAAGTGTTTAGCAATGCGTCTTATTGTTTTCAAAATATATCTCTTTTGAATTCTTTGTCTACAAACCTTGTGTGTCAAGTTAGAATTATCTGCAGAATTAACCACACGCAATGAATTTCCGAAATTAAACACATAATAACACATAATTGAGAAATAAATCGTTTATTAAATACATGTATGCAGTTTAAAGATTAGGATTCATGAAATCGGGGACCTTTATACGTCCTTAATAAAATGTTTTGGATTTAAATTAAATCAAATTAAGATAAGAATAAATGATTTAATTGAATGATCCGGAATGATTTAAAAAATAATTTTCCGTAAATCATCGTGTCAGCAAAATGAATATAGAACGACAATGTTTTGTGTATGAGCACTAATAGCTGCTTCCTCGGCTACATAATTAGGTTACATAATTGTAAACAAACACAAAACCCGGGTATATGTGAAACGCAGTTAAATGCAGTTAAAGACCGATTTATTTTTTGCTTACTTTTTTTTTTTAAATTTAATATAGTGTATGTGTCAACATTAAACGACGAAAAGATGTTTTGTTTACGAACGCAGGTCACTGGTTCACACGCAATGGATCTCTTGTAATTTCGGCCACAATAATTTAATAAGTATATCACCAACATGACCAACATAGATAAGATGAAATAATTTGAAAGATCCGATTTGACTAAAAAAAAAACAATTATCCGTACATAGTTGAGTTTGCAAAATAGATTTAGAACGGCAATGCCTGTTTAGTGTATGGCCACTGATCACTGGATCTAGGTCACGAGTGATCGGGGGATGGCCGGTTACGTAATTATAAACAAAAACAAACCCCGAGACGTATTGAAAATGTGTGACTCAATAATTTGAAATGAAACCACAGAACACGTAAAATCTTATTTTAAAGTAGTATTAGTATTTATTTTGGATAGGTTTATCATTTATAGCAAGTTTATTTCAGTTATGCGCATAAAGATTTCACCTTCACTTGTCTAATGAAACTAGTTACCTGTATATGGGTCAAGCTTCTAGCTCATTTATTAAAAAAGACTCGAACAAAATAACAAGTTCACGAGATCAATAATATGTTAAAGAACTTTTTTAGCGACAGCTATATCGAAATATTTACCGTTTTTGAGTTATTAGACGAAAACTTTGAAGGACCCTAGATCCCTAATTTAAGGGACCAGCCCCTTTTTGGAGGTGCCAAATGAAAGACCTTAAAATTGTGCACAACTTTTATTCAACATGTCTTAACAAAATATTTTTAGTTTAAAAGATACATAGGAAAATATGTGTAAATTTTCGCGCTTTTAGGCGTTCTAATTTTTGACCCCTATCTAGTGCCATTTTGAACACAGAAATCAAAAAACAAAAATAGATGTGCACAACTTCAATGCTTCTATTATTTAAATTCGGTAGAATTTCTACTCCAGCTTTTGTAGTCTCGGAGCCTTTATCCGGAAATGAAGAGTCCTAAATTTTCATTTAAAGGAAGATAACTCAAAAGCGGAAGTGGATTTTTGACATGTTTGACAGCATTCTGATAGAGTTTTGTAACGTCTACAAACCCTGCAAATTTCAGCAAAATCCGTTGAGAAATGAGCGAGATATGAGGCCTCAAAGTTGGCGTCTAGAAAGGAGAAGAAAAAAAAAAAGAATAATGATCTTAACCATCAGAATCAGTAGAAGGTCTTCCGTTGTGACGGAAGACCTTAATAAGAATAATCTTAACCATCAGACTCAGTAGAAGGTCTTCCGCCTGGAGCGGAAGACCTTAATAATGAATACGATACCCAATGCATGGAATAATCTATATCGTAATTGATACTAAACCGCTAAAGGTCAATCAATATGAGTCAGTGTAAAAGTTATGGTATGCAAAAAGAAAGTTACCGTAAATTGCTCAGCCGAAAACATTCATGGAAAGGTTGTATCTGCGCACGTAATTTGCAGTACAAAGGCACTGAATTTATACAAACACCTATATGACACTGTAAGTAGATAATAATGTACTATTACGTAAAACAAGTATCAAGTACATTTTTTTATGTAGCAAAGTATGTCTGTGTATAAGCTGAATGATATTAAAGAAAAATAAAAAAAAAATGGTTGAAATTTAGGACGATATACTGGGTTGCGACCGATATATAAAGAACATTGCCGGTAACCCCTCCCCCTCCCTTTCTCGATAGTATGGTGTTTTTTTTTTTCTTCGGCGTTTTCGAATGAAGTGATCAAATTCATGTGTTATGCCTGAAATTTTGATGAACATGAACATCCTAAAAATACATGAATTAATATATTATTATTCGTGTTGTTGTCTCTGTATATCAATTCTAATACACGATGAATGTTCATATCGATATACCGTTCATTTTGTAAATTGAATTTCACAATATTAGTGTAGATGCATGTAACTTGCTGGTCTTCCTAACATTTTTTGCAGTAAGTGAAATGATGAATAAAATTACAGCGTGCTTCTATCCTTTTAGATCTTACTCATTCCAACTATAAAAATATTTATATGTAAACGCGATTACGTTCAACTTATGACGTTATACCAGACCTTGAAGTCATAAATAACGCCATAAACGCAAAATTTTGGCAATATAAAAGCGAACTTTGAAAATATTTAGCAATAAAACTAAAAAGAAGACATATTGATTTTTTTTTTTCAATAATTTTAATTTAACCTCATCTCGACATTTTGAAATTCCTGACTAAATCGTCTACGTCTTCAAAAAGTTTTCTGACCTTTTCTAAAGAAACTCTCCATAAAATTGGTTTAAAACGTTATTTTTCTATATTATTTTTCTATATATTTCAATAGAAAAGCGTAAAATTAGTATCAAAAACTATACCGTGTTTACAGTAATACAGCATTAAACCACGTAGGCAGATTTGATATAAATTACAGATAATATGCTGCAAATTCTAAGGAACATTATATCAAATTTTCAGGATATGTTTTCTCGTAAGAATTTTTATGCAGTAAGCCCGCAATCTACCTTAAAGTCATCATTTGTGAAGTATTATGGTCGATACAATGACCTTGTCAGCAAATGCAATCTCTCATTAAGTCAAATACTGACTGACGTTTTTCATACTAATTGCTAGACCATTATTTTCACACTGAATTGTCGACGGATTGTTCCGTTATTTCCCCATCATGACAAGGAGCACACGGCGGGTGTGACTCCTCCATAGCACCTGATCCCACTTCTGATGTTTTTGGAGGTCCATGTTTACTCTGCTCCTGATTTTTATTGTTTAAATGGACCTTTGAGCTTGAATAATGTTTGTTATCTCCATATATTTCGATTGAATATTGCAAAAAAATGATCGATTAATTAATAATAAATTATTATGAACATTGATTGCCTTATGAACACCAATGATCGAAAAGCAAACGCCAATCTTACATTGTAAAACTTTGACATGTGTACATTTAATAATGTTTCTTTGATTGGAGGTGTGCCGAACACCAATTGAGTTGGCCCCCTCTGAACAAATGTATGATTAAATAATTTGCTTGGAGCCAGTATTAAATGCCAAATATAAGAGATGGATATTTACAAACGACAAAATTACAGTTGTTTTTTATGTAGTCTGGGGTTAACCAGATCTTTGATATCTTTGTATCATCAACTTATTTGTCAAAAGCCTGTCTCGTGCCTGAAATTATTCATATCACAGGAAGATACAAGACTTTTCAGCTAAAACTGAAAGGCAGCTTTCAGTGACTTTACAGTGGCCATTCAGTCACTGAATGGCAGGTACATTTCAGTGACCTTTTAGTTACTTTTCAGCCACTATTCATGTACCTTTCAGTCCCATTCAGCGGACACGTTTCTACGGATTATCTTTCAGTGACCTTTCCGTCGTCTTTCAGTCGCCCTTCAGTGACCTTCCCGTTGTCTTTCAGTGACCTTTCCGTCATCTTTCAGTGACCTTTCACTCGTAATTCAACGACCTTTTCATCGGCTTTTCAATAGTTTATCAGTAATTATTTCTTCACAATTTTTAAATAAAATTATTCACATCTTAAATGTGTTTTTGTTTCTTTTTATGATAAAATTCATAATCGTAGTACTTATAATGGTTAAATGTTCAATGTCTTCAAATTGTTTATTTAAGTTACATGTGTATTTGTTGAATGACGTTATCGGTCGAAGTTTTTAATCCAAGTAACAGATACGGCATAAAAAATTTAAAATGTTTTATTTTTGTTATTATTTCCATGTTTCTATTCATTTTCTGGAGTTTAATTACGTATCTATATATACCAATATTAAGAAAACTTGCGTTCTAAAGTTGATGTGTCATCTCGCGTTCGATTAGGAACATGTAGATTTTAATGTGACACATATTTTCATTTAAAAATTTCTAGCGCAAGTCTGTCTTGATATGATATATAGCTATAAATGGTATTATTACAACATAAGTAAGTATGCAACCTGGGCAACCCTGTGCTCTTGAATTTTATAGTCAAAGTATTCTCCTATCACTCAATTCATGAACCGTAATTCAAAATTCAATGAAAAAGCTAAAAATGCAAAATCTTCATTATTTGCTGATACATGAATTAACAATTTAATTAACAACAGAAAAATTAAACTAAATTTATGTAATACATGTACCTTCCCAATCCAAAAAAGATTAGGAATTATCGAAGCATTTTCCTTTCCTTTTTTTTCTTGTTTTTGTTTTTGTTTTTGTCTTTGTTTTTTTTTGTGTGTGTGTGTGTGTGAGGGTGTGTGTGTTTGTAAGACCCCGATACTCACTACACGTACTAGGTAACACACCAGCAAGTCACTACATTTTGAAGAGTCACCACTTACACTCATGTAGTGAGTTTTCTAAAGTGTTGAAAACGGAATTTCGCACCGTATATTACCCAGAAAATACAAAATTGTTCATAGTGTGAGTTTCCGGTCTGAACGTGATTTTTTCCACACACATTTTCATGCTGCACCATGGCGTTTACACACTTTCCCCTGATGGATTTTTTGCGCATGCGCACGAGTAACTTCCGTGAAAATGGACATCAACAGTAAAAGTAAGTTATTAACAACATATTTTGACAATTTTTACATAGTACAAAATCCGAATTAACTGTTTTTGACATGTTTTATTATTATTTAGTCGCTTAAAGACCAGAGTACTGATAAAAAAAATTATAACATGATTTTAACAGATTATTTTGTTAGAAATGACATTCAGTTAAGGATGTGAATAAAGTTGCACTTCTTCTAAGGATATTTTCTCTATTAATTGAAATAATTAACTTTAAAATAACGTACCGTGTTTAATGAAATTATTATTTTAAACTTTAAAATCAGTTTTATATGTTACATAACATTTATTAATATTGACTGAATTTCCTCGAAACTCCGACATTTTAAAGTAGTTTGTCAAAGGCAATGCGATTGCAAACAGATAAATTAATAAATTATAGGCCCTAAGTTTGTCTTTTGTGCACTTAACATTAGGGTATTGAAAAAAGTCATTGTGAGTTACTGTTTGTAAAAGTAGGATGAGGGATAATCCGAATTTCCTGATCAAGAATGATAAAAGTGGACTTACCTTTTCTTAAAAAAAATTGTTTAGTAAATAAACGTATGTAAATATTTTAGTTAAAACAAGTGAATTTGTTTTAGTGTTCTTTTATCCGTTTGTTTGTTTGGTTTTTTTTTTTTTTTTGGTTTTTTTTTTTGTGTTTTTTTATCTGTTTTAAACAATTCATTTTAAATAATGTTGCCTTATCTAATGAGATTATTTCATCATCTCTAATGAAATTATTTCATCATATAATCTCACATTTTATATACCAGTAATTTGACTTTACCAGAACTTCCTGAAAGTTAAGTTTATTTGAAAGAATGAGTTTGATACAATTGCAAAATATTTAAAAGGAAAAATAAAATTCTTTCATATTTGCTTTATATTAAAGAACAAGTAATTAAAATAATTGTTTGCTTGTTTACCATCCCTTTGAAAATTTTTTATCTCATACTGAGATGCCACCACTTGCCGGTGGAGGGCCAAAAATTTAGACCTGTGCACCCATAAGCAATTATGGATCTTTTTCATGCCAGCGCATACTATGAAACAGAAGCTCGGTATATACTGTCATCCAAAGGACCTGTCCCCATGTCCCGCAATGAGATTCGAATCCGCAGTGTAAGCTGCGACTCCAGAGCAAATTTTATAACCACTACGCATAGTATTAGTAATTAAAAAAGATAAATGTGAGTTAAATGGAAAGAATTTTCAAGCTTTCTTTATGTAAAAGGACAGGATATAAATCAACATTTTTAGACTAACATTTGGTCGGCTTTCAGTTTTCAGATTATTTCTGCTGCTGTAGGGTCAGTGCTGAGTTTAGTAACTGAGATTCTTTAAATGTGATCATATTTACATGTAAAATTTGTTGAATCAATTTCATTTTCATTTATTAATTTTTTCCCTTATCTATTTATTCATTTTGCCATTCAATTGAATAGTTTTAATTTTATGACCAATAATGTGTTTTTCTATTTTTAACCTAATTCTTATCAATTAATTTTTCATTTGAACTGCCACCAGACAGGTTGTAACACTCCAATTTTACACTGTTGTAAAAACTGAGCAAACTTGACTTAAACATGAGGTCTATTTGTTAAAATCTGTTAACCTTTACATGATTTAATATATTATAACTACCATAATGGTTGAGATTCAGTATCTCAAACACTGCTATCTAGAATACCATGGATATGTCGGAGTGATTTTGTGGTCCAACCATATATTATTTAAGTATATTATACTTTCATGTAACTTAGTTGAATCTGATTCGTCGAGAAACATTTGTTAAAAAACACTATTACCCACTGAATGATGAAGTCATGCCCTCCGGCATAGCAACAGTCAACAATGCTTGATGACGGGTGATATTCCAAAAATAGTGACTGCGCAGAATTTATGCATGCAAGGTTCACTTTTATATGTATTCGCATAAAACATTCAGCATAATATAATAAATATTGCATGTAGTTGAGTGTAACATTGAAAATTTTCACCCTAAGAAAACCATTTTCAACTGAGGCGCAGCCTCGGTTGACAATGGTTTTCTTGGGGTGAAAATTTTCAATGTTACACTCAACTTCATGCAATATTTATATAATTTAACCCTCGATATCCTGAATCCTTGGGAATCTTGAAGTTCTTTCTCAGTAATATAAAGTTTGAGATTGTATTATATAAATACTGCATGTAGTTGAGTGTAACCATGGTAACATTGAAAATTTTCAGCCTTAGAAAACCATTGTCAACTGATGCACAGCCAAGGTTGACAATGGTTTTCTTGGGGTGAAAATTTTCAATGTTACCCTCAACTGCAACTACATGAAGTATTTTTTATATCATACTGAATGTTTTATACAAATACACATTACAGTGAGTCGCCCGCATGGTGCAGTGGTTAGAGCGTCTGCTCTAGAGTGGCGAAGTAAGGAGTTGATCCTTATGTCGCAGGTTTGAATCCCACTGTGGGACGTGGAGACCGGTCCTTCAGATGAGACCATATAAACCGAGGTCCCGTGTCGCAGTAGGTGCTGGCACGAAAAAGATCCCTCACTGCTCAATGGCTGTAAGTGCCGAGCATAGGACAAAATTTGCAGCTCTCCACCGGCACGTGGTGGCGTCTCCATATGAGTGAAAAATTCTCGAGAGGGACGTTAAACAACATACAAACAAACAAACACATTACAGTGAACCTTGCGCGCATAAATTCTGCAGAGTCAATATTTTTTTGGAATATCACCTGTAGTCAAGCAATGTCGACTGTTGCTATCCTGGAGGGTGTGGCTTCATTATTCAGCAGGTAATAGTGTTTTTAACAAATGTTTCTTGACGAATCAGATTCAACTAATTTAAATGAAAGTATAATATTAAAAATTATGACTTAGTCGGCCTTTAATCTATCTAAGAGTACTACAATAAGTAAATGTTTGGGTTTTTTAATACATATAATACAATACAGAACAATGTGTTTGGATATAGCAAAGAGACAATCTCATTTATGCAATATGTTGTAAAAATGACAATTTTAAAAAAATATCTTGGAGTGGGGGTCCTGAATCTGCCACTGTTAATGTACCTGAAAGTGGTCAATAAATCACAACTTACTTAGGGAAGTCATTGATTACTAGTCTGATAATTAGTATGGGTTAGGAATTAACAAGACATATAGTGTAGATTGAAATAGTAATACCTGCTTAACTGGGTTAGCAAAATAACAATGAAACTCCAAAAATTTTAAATACAGTCAAACCTTGATATCTGAGGATTCAAGATATCCAGGGCAAAATACCCAAAGAATAAGGGTTTGGGACTTCAAAATCCCTTCAACATATCCATGATATTCAATATATCAGTGTCATGGATACTGAAGTTCAACTTAAGTATTTATTACTTGAAAACTTGATATGTTTATATACATATACACTATGCATATGCACTATATGTTTGCACTATATATATACACAAACTAATTCTCATTAATTAGGAAACAGCAATATGTTGTTATACAGATATCATGATTTATCGAGTTTGGTGATGAATTGAATTCGCACATTTTAGGGTAAATACAATGTACAGAGCTACAGTTTATTAGACTTTTCAATAAGATTTCTTGTCGCCTGCATGACGCAGTGGTTAGGGTGTCTGCTCTAGAGTCGCGGAGTAAGGAGTTGATCCTTACGTCACAGGTTCGAATCCCACTGCGGGTCGTGGAGACCGGTCCTTCGGATGAGACTGTATAAACCGAGGTCCCTTGTCACAGTAAGTGCTGGCTCGAAAAATATCCCTCACTGGTCCTGAGTGCAAAGTATAGGTCAACATTTGTAGCCTTACACCAGCAAGTGGTAGCATCTCTATATGAATGAAAAATTCTCAAGAGGGACATTAAACAACAAACAATCAATCGATCAACAAGATTTATTAACTGGAATGAAATCTATAAGACATCAGGCCTAAGGAAAAAAAACATGCTTGTATACATGTACCATTACTTGCTAATAAAAAATAGGGTTGATAGGTAAAATTTTGTTTTTATTTTGTTTAATTTTTTTTTATAAAGGCATAAACATTGCAATTCATTTTTAGACAGTGGCTATTTATAGCCACAGGCTATTGCTGCTGGTCTGGGCTATGAATAAACAACAGTGTAAAAACACGGGGACCCTAGCAGTGATTTTTGCAGAGACAAAATAATGAAAGTGGAGTCGTTTCGATGTTCGAAAATAAAATGTACATGGTTCTCAAGTTATTTTAATGACATTTCGTTGATGGGCGCAAAGTTTAATTCCTGATATTTCCCCATTTTAATATTTCTCGCCTCATGAATATTCATTAAACTACACCGACTTAATGTTAATTCGTACAAAAACTGATTCGTATATAAGGAGTCAATTCGTATGCAAACCATAAAAGTCAATTCATACATAAAGTTTGTTGAGTATGAAACAAATGCAAAAAGTTAGTACATATACACGTCCTTTTTTACGTTGTGTAAATGTAAAATTTCAATAAAATTTATTAAAAATAAAAAAAAAAATCTGGGGGAAAAATATTTATGGATAATGGTTTCACATTACACCTTACCATCTTAGGAAATAAAATAATTATTGTTAAACCAACACACTCTCGGCGGTTTCTTCGCTGTTGGATGTGTGACACACTTATTATACGAGATGTTCCCAATTTGGTATTCCCTAATTACGAGATACTCCATGCTTGGAAAGCGTCAATCCCCAAATTTCTCCATTTCCGAAAATTCAGTTAACATGATTCGAGGACTGCGTATTCCTTGTTGCAGAACTGCATGTTTTATTTGAGACATTTTGTGAAATTTTTGTACAATAATACGTATACAGTTTATTGAAATTTTACGGTGTCTTTTGATGAATGGAATTTCTAGTATCTGTTGACGATACTATATTAGAAAAAGATATATTTTCGGAATGGAAAAAAATCACGTCCTCTTAAAGTTTACATAAAAGAGAGTTGTTGAAGGCAGATACGATGCCATTTTGCAAAGTTAATTTCGGTTTTATCTAAAAACAAAAGTCATTGCCTAATTATCTCGGACACAAAAACTACTGAAAGGATGCTAATTTATCAAAGCTATAATTATAAGACTGTGACGAACAAAAGTTACCCATATATTTCATTTGTATTTGAAAATTCTATCGTGACTCGAATAAAATTTACCCTTTAAAGAGTGTAAGAAAAAAAACTACACAAATGCATGTACATGAAATATTAGGATTTTCTTGCGAATTCAGTTGACTTAATTTAGGTTAGTCTTCTCCTACATGTGTTTTCAAAACTTCGTATTACGCAATGACTAGCGGGGTCAGTGCATATTAAGATACTAAGAGAAAATGAGGGTGAAAGATATTTTGTTATTCAGTTCTTTTTTCTTTTCTTTTCAAACAATATATATATATATATATATATATATATATATATATATATATATATATATATATATATATATATATATATATATATATAAATCAAACAAAAAGGTAAAACTACTGTACAATTCTTGAAGTCTTTCAACCTTATAGAAATACATGTAAGTAAATTACTGGAAATTTGGCAAAAATGGGGATCCAAAGATAAAGTCTATTTCATTATCTTTCAGCATATGATTTATGTCGCACAATCTACAGTACATCGCCAAAAGTGATTCATCATTTCCTTTTTTACCATATATTTTAAGAAAAGTTAGTTGTTTTTTTTTTTTTTTTTAATATTGTGAGTTCAATTTAACTCCAGATTAGCAAAATTTGATAATTAACCACTGAGTATAAGAATTTAAATTATAAAATCACAATTTCTGTTTAACAACTTCAATTAATACATGTCCTCATCATACTGACGCAAATATAAAATAACTCATCAAATACATGTATTGTAAAAAATTGCAACAAACGTTCATAATTTCCATATCATTTTACAGATTCTCATATTAATTTATTTAATTTAATTCATTCATGCCAGTGACCAGTAATTAGAGCGTTTGCTCTAGAGTCAAGGAGTAAGGAGTCAATCCTTAGGTCGCAGGTCGTGGGTTCGAATCCCACTGCGGGACGTGGAGACCGGTCCTTCATATGTGACCGTTAAACTGGGGTCCCGTGTCGCAGTTAGTGCTGGCCAGAAAAAAGATCCCTCACTGCACAATGGCCCTGAGTGTTGAGTGTAGATATAAAATTTGCAGCCCACCAATGGCAATGGTGGCGTCTCATTATGAGTGAAAAATTCCCGAGAGGGACGTTTTAATTGAAACAAACAAACAATCAAACAAAATCATTCATGCCACCGTCTATCAGTACTCACAGTACTTTGATTTTAATAACAATTTGAAATTTTTGCAGAAAGATTGGAAATGACAAGGGTTAAAAACATGAAGAATGCTGAAAAAAAGATTTTAGGGAGTGCCAACTCACTTTGACATACATGTATCCCTGGTATTTGAGATATCAGTATTCTAGATAACAACCTTCATTAAAAGAAATTAAAATCTATAACAGGACATGAATGCCTTACCCAGGATAAATTTTGATGAAACAAGGAAAAAAGTATCAGGCTTCTATTGTTCAAAATCAGAGTAAAGGAGAAATGATGAGGTCAAGGTCAAAGGAAACTTTATAAAGGTTTGAAATATTATGACACAGTTGAATAACTTTCACCAATTTTGTGTTATTGTACGTTTGATAGAAATATTATGAATACTTTCTTTAAAAAAAAGAGCTGTAACTAAAATAAATAGTAAGAATAATGATTAAAAAAAGGAGCAGGTCATAATTTGGACACAGTTGAAATGTTATCACCAATATGTGTCAGTGCAAGTGCATAGATAAAAATAAATTAAAAGATTTTTATAAGACTAAGCTACAAAATAAGGAATAGTGAGGTCAAGGTCAAAGGGAAGATCAAGATAAAAAAAAATGACATAGTTTATCAGATATCTCAGATATGTGTATAGATAACAATATTTTGAATAATTTCTTTGAAATTGAGCTAAATGCAGATTGGAATAGTTGGGTCAATATCATAGGGGTCACAATAAAAAAATCAGGACACATTTGAATACTTCTTACCAACATGTGATAGTACACTGTATGTGTATTTGGATTAAAAAAATTCTTGAACAGTTCCTTTAAAACTGAACAAAATGCAAAATGAAAAAGCTAAGTCAAGGTAAAAAAAAATGGACACATTTGAATAGTTCTCACAATATATCATTGTGTGAATTTAAATAAAGATATCTTGAATACTAAGTATTTCCTTTGAAAATCAGCTGAATGTTAAATTCAAGTGTAGTAAAGTCAATATAATAGGGAAAGTCAGACTTTCAGAGGATTGTTGGAAACATGCATTAAATAATAATTATTTCTGATCTTTAATTGTAATATTTTATTTTTTTTTTAGTTTTGAGGGTAGGGGAATCATATTCAACATTTTCTATTATATTGTCAATTTCTATCAGAGCCTTCCTATTTGTGGATTTTTTTATGCACTGTACAGCAAATACCTGACCATCTTAGATTTATTTGCAACTTTTATGAGCCTATATAGCAGGCAACGCATGTTTTTTCTTGGAACACTTTAGATAAACATACATTTAATACGTAAATATTTTTTGGAAAGAATTTTCAGCATAATGTCATGAACCACAGAAAGCATACAAAATAATGCAACATCCGCTTAATAAGTATATTTGGCTTCGTATTCTTAATTACTAGGATAATTTGAATTGCAATATCAATTACATTCAAGTTTCCACAAATTTATAGTCCATGAATAAGAGACTAGGCAATATTATTCACCAGAGTGGGACCAGTGCATAAACATAGATTTATAAAGTCTTAAATAAATTGGTCCCATACCTTCCACTGCAGTGAAAGAATATATTTCCCGTCCTCATTTTGTATGAAAATTAAATCAAAGTAAATTAAAGTTCATAAATACACCTGTACATATATACAATATAATATGACCTTTAAATTTCTCCTTCATCAGCCATGTTGAGGCTGTGGTATAGATGGCTACTACTTGAAGGGTACAGACTCCATTCAGTTGCAAAATATTTGGTGATTTCCTTTTCTAAATGAAATATTTGGGAATTTTAAATGTGCATGATTTTGCAGGGGCATAGCTTCCATTGTGGCAATGAGGCAACTGCCTCGATCACTAGATTTTTCACCACCACCACACCTTTCCATAATCAACAATACATTGCAGATAATACGTAAAATTAATGACATTTCTTTTAACATTTAATCTAAGCAGTTCTATAATGTTGAATTGAAGTTTTAAAGAAATAAAAGCAAAGTTTAATAAGATGCGCTTTCACCTTTAAACGTTTCAAAAGTTTTAGTAAACATTATATTTATTAACTCTTTTACATTCTTTTACAATATGTAGTATCATGCTGAAGTCTTAAATAAAGAAACCAGTACAGCAAATGAAATTTCATTGCATTTTAAAACTCCAACTGTATTTTTTGTCGGAGTGCCCCCCTCCCATGACACTACCCGGAACCTTCTGGGGCCTTAAGGCGGCCCCAGACCTCTTGCTGCTACATGTATGGTTTTGCCTCACTAGAATTTAAAGTCAAGCTACGCCCCTGTTTTGGATATCATGCAACCTGAAAATGTTTGAAAGTTGTATAAAATCTTACTTGACCATGACATTTTTTATTTCTAAGGAAATATGACATGGATTGTTTTTCTTGTAATTCTAGCAGGGATATATCCACTGCAATTCAATCAAGGGTGTAAAGAGATTTTCCTCTGGTAAATTGTATGCTATACATCCTCAGAGGCTGAAGCAGCAAGCTAACTTGTAATACAAGATTTGATTGTAAGCCAGCTGGTGTAATTTAGTATGTACTATGCACAGCTTGAGCCGAAGGTAAAATATTGTGATGTCACAAGGCATAGTTAAAAAGCACTGGGGCCTTCTGCACACATGTATGGAATACAACACAGAGTAAATCCCCTACATCCTTGATTCAGCCTCAAGGTGTATGGAATACAATCCAGGGTAAATCCCTGTACACTCTTGACTAAAAGTATATTATATGCTTCTAACATACTGTCTAAATCTTAAATGTAGCATACTTTCTAAATCTAAATTGATTAATTAATTTCCTGATAATTTGATTGAATTGATTAATTTGACAGTTTTGCACTGAAGGCCAGGTCTAAATTGTCCAAAAACTAGGAGGAACCTGTGATTTGAGGGTTTATTTCATGGTTTTGAATTACTATTCATGAGTCTTTTCTCATTTCATAATAAAATCAGGGACCTTTATACTAGGGGGGGGGGGGGGGTTCGGGGGGGGGGGGGGCAACTCCCCTTTTATAACCAAAATTATTCGAATAAAGATTAAGAAATTTTATTATTTTGTTGTTGCTAAATATTGCATTTATAATTTGTGTCCAAGGCCCTTAATCTTTAGACACCCTTCTGGATCCGCCACTGCCCTACAGTTACTGAGTTATATAGATTATGTACATGATGTATGTAGGGTCTTTTGTTGTTAAAATGACTTGTCCCACCCTAAAATGGCCAAAATAAGTACCTTTGCCATCATACTTTGCAACTGTCCCACTCTAAAAGTCATAAATATTGCCTGCATATTACAAGATTTTCATTTTTCAGAAATGTGCTGGTTACCGGAAGTTCACAAGAACCAGTTAAGCGAAGGTAACACCCTACAACATGAACATGAACTGATCACTGAGACTGCATTGCGTATGAAAGACAGTTTTGTAAGTATTTGTAAGCTTTAAAGTATAAAAATCTTCTCTTGTTACTTTTGAAGATGGAAATTTAGAAGATGCTTGAAGTTCATCGTATGTACTGTGAACTTTGGAAAGTTGTCACTTAGTTGAGAAAATTCGAACTAGGTCAGTTGTATGTGTCAATTTTTCGGAACGATAATCTTTATAGTGCCCGTTTTATTCATTTTTTATACACGTACAATGAACACAGTCGGGCCTGCATTACAGTCTATCCTTGTTTGGGATTGGGAAACACAGAAAAGTTACAGTGTCTGTTTAAGGGTTTTTGGTCAACTCGTATGATCGTATCTAGCTGCAATAATGTAGCCCTCTCCAATTTTTTTTTTTTTTTTTTTTTTTTTTTTTTTTTTTTTTTTTGGGAGAGGGCTACAACTCCTTAGGATCTCCGTAATGGTGCAAGTGCGGGAGTGATTCACTACCGCACAGATTTCGGCTCAAATTATCAGTAAGTGGGTATTTTATTAACATATCTTACCTCAACTCATAAAATGTAGTTATGCAGGACATGAATTGATCCAAAAATATACAGAACAATCCGTATATCGGTTATTTTTCGTGCATGTCAACATCACAACTTGAATTTATCCGCCATGTTTACTGACCTTGATCGATTTTATTTTGGGACAACCAATGAGAATTTGGGATCTAGGGGAGCGGATCTGTATGGATTTCCATTATTATAAGCATAAATATCACTGTATATGAAAAAAATATCACATGGAATGCTTTTATTTATCGATGTTTAGTGATATCATACAACACAAACATTTATCAACACCGACATTTACATTATCAAGTGATTCTAAATTTCAAGCGCAAGTCTCATTACATCACGCGAGAACTGTCATGGCTGCTGAGGAGAACGAATGGAAAACACGGAGATTTATTTTACTTGGTTTTTCGCGTATAAAGGGGTATGATGTTGATAGTGAATAAAATTTCCGTCTTATTGCAAGTAAGTTGAATGCAAAAACAATTTATTTTGCCTGCAGTCGCCCGTATCTAAAAAATATATTTGCACCATTACAGAGATGCAGTGGAATTGTAGCCCTCTCCTGAAAATATCAGATTAAAAAAAAATCGGAGAGGGCTACATTATTGCAGCTAGATCGTATCTAGCCAGTAGGTCAGATCTTCTCCTACAAGTAAGAGCCTCGGTTAAACGTCCCTACGCTCCTTATATACCTCGGAGCGCCAAGTCAAAAGTATATCGCCGTGAACCTCTAGCATGTTGAGTAGATCAGATCAAACCCAATAGGTCAACTCATATTAATGAAACGACAAAATTCGTAACCAGGAGAATTGTTACAAGCTGACTCCCCTATATAAATTGATGACAACTCGTAACTTAACAATATTAACAACTTATTACCCCTTTTGAGGTCAACATGGTGAAATACGGACCCAAGACTTGGTCTACGAGGTGAACTGACCTGACCATAGATAGAATGTTCTATCGTTAAAATGATAAATGTCCTACGGACCCTGTTTAATGATAGAATGCATTCCGTGCATTGTCTATGTAGCAAAGAAAATACGGGAGATAACTCTAACTTAGTGTATTTACTATGAAAAATCCCGAGAGTTCTGAATGTCAACATGGTGTGTAAATTTGAAATGAGTAAAAAATGTTGGTGAAAAAGTGTTGAATTCTTCCATTATATGGATGAAATTTTTAGATGAAAGGTATTTACAGTCTCAAAAAGGTTTTTTATGATTAATTTGACTGTTATTTTCAATGCAACTTCATTAATTTTCTCCAAAATCATTTCGGAGCGATTCTGCAATTTTCTGCTATATTACTGGTATAGGGGAGGCATTCTAACTGTAGTGAGGGCCTGTCCCAAGACACAGTTAGATTATTCTAATTAACCTGACCAAGGCCACTATGAGGTCAGGTCTGGTTAGCAAGTCGGTCATGTCAAGGGTCCTTCTTTTCACCATGTGGAACTTGTATGGGGTATCAATTGTTTTATTATACCGATAAGAAAATTATATATTATACACTTGAGTGCATGATATTGCGTTACATTACCAATGTTTTTAAAATGGGATCTTGATTCACTAGTGAAGTTGTTTATGCTGACTTCTGCAAGTCATGTAAGTTTTTGCATAATGATTTACTGATTAAAACAATTTTTGATTGACAGTAACATGCATTAAATTGTTATGCCCTGTTCACACGGAGAGTTTAATTCACAGTAAATTAATGCGAAGTAAATAATGTGAATTAAAATAATGTGAATTAAATTGTGTTCACACGACAGCTAATGCGAAGTAAACTAATGGGAATTAAAATTTTATTTCTACAGTAAGGCTATTCAGTAAGGCTATTATGACGTCATTTTCAAATCACGTCACCTTATGCGCAGCAAACCCATATTACATTCTGTCATAGTGTCTATGCACATTTCAGTGATTAACATAATTTTTCTTTGTTTTCCACTAAAAAATAGCATAAGTATCCATATCTGTCCACAGACATGTGGTATGTGACTTAATTGTGCCATTACGCATGCGTCAAAATTTAATTCGAATTAGCTTCGCTTAGCGTTCACACGGAGCTAATGCGAAGTAATTTAATGTGCAGTTAATTAATTTGAATTAAACTAATTCGCATTAAATTCCCTGTGTGAACGCGGTTCAAATTTAATTCGCAGTAACTTATGTTTAATTCGAATTAAACTCTCCGTGTGAACAGGGCATTATAATTGAAGGTAACTCTTACTGAGCAAAATGAAAATCTGACGCAGAATTTTACTATAAAGAAGAGCCAAGTCTGCATTTCCTGGAATTGAATTGTAACAAAATTTTTTCAAATGAATAAACAAATAAATTTTTTGACTTATAGGCCCTAGATCTGTTGTATTCCGTATCATAAACAGACAATGCAAATTTTATAACACACTTTTTTAACGTATAATCATTATTCTATGCATTAAGTCAGGGATCTATATACTAACTGGATAGGCATCTCCTTCAGTACCATGTTTACTCGCCCAAAACATCACACACAACACTACAAGTTTTTCAAACTATGTTTATTCTCAGTAAAAAATTTGTTTTCTAATAAATGTAATCTGTTCTTTTTGTTTATTGGAATGGATATTTAATAAATTTTAAAGTATACGTTGTAAAATAATCTAAATGTAAAGCAAATTACCACCAAATTTTGCAATTCTCGGCCGATCAGGGGCATGTGTTGAATTAACACGTTTAAGTGATTCAAATTAAGAGATAATTATGGGATATTCCAAATTATTGACTCAATGAAATTGAGCCTATGATATTTTCTGAAAGAAGAACAGAGGTCAGTATATATATATATATATATATATATATATATATATATATATATATATATATATATATATATATATATACATATATATAATTATAATAGTAACTTGATCCGAAGAGCCGTATCATGTCAAGTTGACATGCATGGATCATCAGATCAAATGAGACGCGAAGTGTCGAGTTTGATCTGATGATCCGCGCCTGTCAACGACACGTAATACGGGTCTCAGGATCAAGTTACTGTTATAATGATAAATTTATTATATAACCCTTTACAACTAGCGAAATATAATAAAAGGAAACTTTTAGGATCAATTACATAACTTTTATCCGTTAAGCAAACCATTTTATCAAGGAACTTTTTGATCCGTGAGAATAAAAACAGCATTTATCTGTGTCAACTCAAAACCATATAAATTATGTTTGTATGTTAACATGTTAAGATTTGAATTGCCTTGGGTACGACTTGACTACGGCCATATGACATTGGGTGGCAGGGGATAGTTTCATACTATAGTATGCGCTGTCAAATTTCTTTAAAAACTGAGGTATCCCATGATTGATGTGATATTTTATGTAGAAAAATGAATAGAATAATTATGGGATTCATGTACATGTGCAGTGTAGCAGAGCTTGCTGTGAAAAATGATGTGCATCATGTAGGTGTCACAATGATGCTTAGCATATATATATAGAGTTGTAAATGCGAAACTAAGACATTTGTTCAGTCGCAGAGGAAATTCAGCTGAGAAGCAGTGGTGTGCATCTCAGAGGGAAGGTGAATGGCCCCAGATCAATTGGTGAATTTTCATTAGGGCATGCATTGTTCTACAGAATACTGGGTGTTTTATCCTGCTCACTCGGGAATGGGATGGGCTGTATAGGTGCGACAGCAGCCCAAATCTTGGAAAAACAAGCCAAAATCTTTGGAGACCTTCAAGTGCATTTTCGGTACATGTGCACTTTAATATATAGGTTACATGTTATATGTTGACACATTTTTTGAGTTATAGATATATGAAGTGCAATTAATTAGCACCCAAGAAACTGCCCCAAACTATCTGTTTTTATTGACCTCATGCATATGCCTACCCCCTCGGCACATGTTTGGCATTGAAAAGAAAAATTATCCCCTGCCACCTTGATAACAGATATGTGGAAATTAATTTTCTGTTTTTAGAACTTCATGGAGATTTGTCATCTATTACAGCAAGTATTTAGAATAAAATATATTTAAACCAAAATCATTTTTTAATGCCAACTTTTAGAGATCAAAGAGCGAGCCTAGATAATTAATTAGAATTTGTTAGTATGGTATTTCATTGTACATGTAAGGCCATTCCAAATTTTTTCTATGTTTAGCGTCCGCGTGTGCCTTGGTTTTTTGACATCCCTTATCAAAAAAAACAAACAAAAAAACAAACAAAATCAGGAGTCCTGAAATTGTTTATTCTGGTCGAAATCATTGAATTCTGTCAATTTCTCTAAGTATTTGTCTACAATATGCCATATTTGGAATATTTTAAGCATTTAATACCTTGATTTTGCTGAGGAATAAATATTTCTACGAGAAAAATAGATTAATGGAATCATATCCTTTGAATGACATCATTTTTATGACTATAATGACTTGTGTTTTACTTTTTGGTCTGTGTGTTTTTTGCGAATAGGTAGGGAGGTATTTGAAAGATGGGTGGACGCTAAACATAGAAAAAACTTGGAATGGCCTAAGGTAATATTTTCTATGCGCATCAATTTCATAAATCTGTGGTGCAGCCATGCAAAATGACTTGATATTTTGGAGTTAGGAACCACATCAGAGGAAAAGTTTGTTGCTTTGCCAGTGGATGTCAATATGTTGATATGTTGATTGGTGGCTCTGATTTTATTAGGTCACCTGAGTCACTCAGGTGACCTATTGCTACATGTATCTGTTTTCATCCGTCGTCGTGCGGGTGTGCGTCTTGCGTAAACTTTTTACATTTTCAACTTCTTCTCAAGAACCACCGGGCCAATTTCAACCAAACTTGCCACAAAGTATCCTTGGGTAAAGGTAATTCAAGTTTTTTCAAATGAAGGGCCACACCATCTTCCAAGGGGAGATAACTAAGAATTAGTGAAAAATTAATGGCATCTTTTAAAAATCTTCTTCTCAAGAACCACTGGACCAGGTAAGATGAAACTTATGTGGAAACATCCTCAGGTAGCGTAGACTCAAGCTTGTTAAAATCATAACTCCCAGGGGTAGGGTGGGGCCACAATGGACGATCAAAGTTTTACATTATAGGAATACATAGGAAAAATCTTTAAAAATTTTCTTCTCCAGAACCACTGGGCCAAGAAAGATAAAACTTATGTGGAAACATCCTCATGTAGTGTAGATTCAAGTTTGTTCAAATCATGACCCCTGGGCAGGGGAGTGCAATTACAAAAATTAGTTACTAGCCTGGGCTAGTGGAAGTAACAAAGTTACTAGCTCGAGGTTGACAATCATCACTAGCCCATTAACTACCGAAAACAATACATGTATAAGTATAACAAAAAGGTAAAAAAAAAAAACATTTAAGTTGAAATAAATAAAACAAATAGTGGTTTGCGCTATGTTATTGTCAGGTACTTCTCCCTATTTTTAATTTTTTATCGAATATAATTGTCACTGAAACGACTGGCGATAGCAACACACAATACATATATGTTGAAAAGAATTAAAGATTATGATTTTACAACAAAGTTAATTCGTATATCAATTCAGTCGATGTAAATATACGTATACTTTCGTTTCAGATTTACTAGCCCGACAGGCTAATGCAGTATAGATTTATGATAGCCCAACCTCTAAAATTGGTAGCCCTGGGCGTTGGGAGATGGTAATTGCACACCCCTGCCTGGGGCAGGGCGGGTCACAATGGGAGATCAAAGTTTTACATGGGAATACATTAGAAAAATCTTCTCCAGAACCACTGGGCCAAGAAAGATGTAATTGATGTGAAAACATCTTCACGTAGTGTAGATTCAAATTTCTTAAAATCATGATCCCCGGGGAGGGTGGGGCCATAATGAACAATGAAATTTTTACATTGGAATACGTAGGAAAAATCTTGAAAAAATTATTTTCTCAAGAACAGCAAAGCCATGATTGGTTATATTTACATGGAAGCATCCTCAGGTAATATAGAGTGGGGCCACAATTTATGATCAAAGATTTACATATGAATACATAGGAAAAATCTTTAACAATCTTTTTCTCAAGAATAGCAAAGCCATGATTTGTCTTATTTATATGGAAGCATCCTTGGGTAAAGTAAGTTCAAATTTGTTCAAATCATGACCCCCTGGGGTAGGGAGGGGACACAACAGGTGATCAAAGTTTTAGTTAGGAATATATAGAAAAGATCATTTAAAAACTTTCTTCTCAAGAACAACAAAGCCATGATTTGTCATTTTAATACAGAAACATCTTCAGGTGCTGTAGATCACTAAATTTTCGGGACACTTCATTTTCGTGAGATAGTCACTGACTTCCTATTAACGAGACAGAATATCACGAAATGTGTTTGCTCTATATAATCTTTAGGAATACTAATATAAGCGAGAATGAAATTTTCACAAGCACACTGTCTCACGTAATTACGCAAAAATAAAGTTCTTGTGAATAAAAAGTGTTTTACAGTAGTGTATATTCAAGATTATTCAAATTATGACCCTCGGGGGTAGGGTGGGGCCATATTAGAAAATAAAACTTATAGGAAAAAAATCTAAATGGGGGACAGATTAGAACTTAATTTATGAGTTGTTACTGAATATTAGACTAATTATTTCGATGATCATGATCGTCCTATTTTTCTTGCTTTTGGGCAACAAATTAAGGTTCTTCTATCAGTTTATTTTATACTCTATGGATCCTCTATGGATTGTTGTTTTATACTCATGTGACCGTTAAGGCCCTTGGGCCTCTTGTTCTATGATACATCATGGATATCATTTAATTTCGATGACGATAACCAAGAGTGCAGACTGCAATGAACTTACAAACTAGAAAATCAGGCTTTTTTGCATTTTGTGGGGCCAGCCAAATGGCGCAGTGCACATTTTACACTAATACAGTGGCTATACAAGCTATAATTTGGGTCCATTAAAAATGAATTTGTAAATTTTTTTATTTGTTTACCGAATAAAATTATGAAAATGTTGTAAATCACACTTGAAATTGAACATGTGATTTAGATGGCAAATCATAATTATTGATTTTCGTTTGTGTCGGCATCCCGGTTAAAGTTTTAGGAGCAAGTCCATTCCCAAGTAACTATAAGCTGTACCTGGACCCAACTTACATGGATGATGCATCTAGGGATGGACAATACTAGACTTGCTTCAGATACTGGATCTGACCTAAATTTTTCTAGATGAGTGACCAGGTTAAAGTTTTTGGAGCAAGTCCATGCATTTCCAAGTAACTAAGCCCTACCTGGACCAAAGTTGCATGGAGGATGCACCTAGGGATGGACACTACCAGACTTGCTTTGGATGCTGGATCTAACCTTTATTTTCCAGATGAGTAATTATTAGCCTTACCAGAACCAAACTAGCATGGAATGATGTATCTAAAGATGGGCACAAGAAGACTTGCTTTTGATGCTGAATCTGACCTACATTTTTCAGATATGTGACCAGAGTAATGTCTTTGGAGTAGCTCTATCACTATATGACAATAATTGTTATGACTAAACTTGCATGGATGACGAAACTAGGGATGGACACTACCAGACATGCTATGGATGCTGGAACTGACCTACATTTTCTTTATGAGTAAACAGTTTAAGTTTAAAGTTTTTGGAGCAGGTCTATTCCCATGCAACTATAAGTCCTACTTTAACCAAACTTGCATTGATAATTGATCTCTTACAGTATTGGTACAAGATTTACCTTACTTATAGATACACATGTACCATTCATTGAGCTTTGTAATCTTTGATTACCTATGTTTATATGTTGATAAAAAAAACTCAATAAACAGTTAACTTTTTTGTAAAAAGTATCACTAGTCAACCAAGAAACTTGTTTTCCCTTAGATCGAACACACGTTTTGGTGGTCATTTGATTACAGGCAAAGAATTGATTAAAATTTTAAAAAAAAACTTCTAATATTTGGTTGATAAAATATTTCAGGAGGGATCATTTCAATGACAAAACAAAAGGTTAACAATGGTTTTCACAAGGGTGTCAATTTCATTTGTTATCCTCCAAAACAGGCACCATTTATGTAGTATGTTATGAATTAAAGCTTATGTATTCCCTGATCACATCTGTTTTCAGAGAAGACGAACGTCACCTTCGTCAGAAGCAGATTTTTACTGCCAGGCTGGCTTTGACCAAAAAGGTTTTGAGATCAAATTTATATCAGACTATAAAAGTAAGTTTATATTATTAATTTACTCTCAACATCTGTGGTTTTGTTTTGTAAAGTGGATGGATGTAGAAAGAATAATATTGCTTGAATTTCATATTTTGTCATTTATTTACATGATTATAATTTTTTATGCTGTTAATTTATAGTTTTGTGCAAAAAAGTTTAAGTCCAGATTGATCTGTATTTAAATTTAAGTTTGTATATTTTTTCCAAAAAATATTTTTTGTATAATTTTAACATAAATGATGTTTAAACAAATTGGAAATACTGGGACTGATTCTAGAGCAATCCCCTAGTTACAATATGATGTCACACAAAGACACATTTAGCAGAAGACTTGTACCTGGAAAATAAGATCTCAGAATCTGAATTGATAAATTTTTTTGTAATATTTTGTGTCTATAAGTAAGTCTTTTATTGAACCTATTTGACCAAAGTGAGCATCGTGGCCCATGGGCCTCTTGTTTGAAGACAGTTTTAATTTTTAAAAGGTGATGTTGAATCTAAATGCTTTGATGTTTTAGACATCCAAACGGCTAGCTCAGATGTGGAAGTGGAATCGGACCCTTTTAGTCGGGAATTCAATGGGAAATTCATTTGACAGTGATGATGATGATGAGATTAATTCAGGTAATATATATAAATATAATTATACAAGTTGCACTACCCAGTCTGCTGTTAAGCTAATTTCATGATAATGTCATAAAGAAGGTTTTAATATTTATCATGTTTATTCACATGTTTTTGGACACAAACTATTTTTTTTATGTAATGCCACCATCAGTATCAATACTTCATAAAGATAGGCTTCACCCAGTCTGACTATTAAGCTAGATTTATAATAAGGTTATGAACAAGGATATATTTTCATCAAGGAGCAGTGGTCTAGCTTCCACTTGTTGCAGTGTCTCCTAAATTGTGCACATCATTGAAGAACCATTTATAAAATTTTCAGATCAATCAGCCAGAACATTGTTATAGCAAACATGCTTAAAATGAATTTATATGCTTACATTGAAGTGATTTCCTTCCCCATAGATTTAAAAGTGTTGTAAATGGAAAGTTTATGCTTATAAAGAATTAAATATTTTGGTCCCTGGCTCTTTGCTATTGTAAGCATGTTTTACTGTATTATTCCCTGTTGTTTGAATAATTAATTTATCTTTATTTTGTGTGATGCCATTTTTACCATATCTACTAGTGTTGTCAACGAGTACCTAGTTAACCGGTTAATCGGCAAACAATGCGAGTATCAGATAGTAAAACTGCTACTCAGTTACTCGGATATATAGACAAAAGTAGAAAAGAAATGTTATTTTGTTAAGAAATGAATCTACACCTCTACCATTTTATTTACCATTATTTAACATTAGACTTGATCTAGCGTTTCACAAACATGACCGATTTGTTTTGATAACACTTAGTTTTCACAGTTTATCTAATTGATGGCTTTGATTGCCAAGCGGTATACAATGTAGAAAACCTGGGTTAATTATAATTACCTCACTTATACTGTGCTAGTCCGCAGTACAGGATTATTTTTAAACAAGATGCCTCCACAGCCATCAAAAGCATAGATTCCGAAATGTTTTAAAAGAATTTAAATTCGAAAGGTGTAAAATATGTAAAATGAAATTAACATACACAGAAACGAAACTAAAGTAACATTATATTTAGGACATCCGCAAAAATTGCCAACTATTATAGGATATTCAAGAACAAATTCATTTAGAAGCTTTATTTTGTCTTTTTGTAATTAAAAATAAACAAATGAAATGCATCTACAGTGCATTTGCGTTTGATATTGGCCATTATGTAAATGTTAAACATGGAAATTGTAATGACGTTACATATATTACAGTTATTATTGAATACATACCATGAGCAAGGATGTTTAAAGGTCTAAAAAAAATCCATCTGTGTAACCGTTTACTTGATCGGAAAAGTAAGCGAGTAACCAGTTACTAAAAATTGTCCGATTTGACCACACTAGTATCAACACATAATTATAAGATTGGATGCTGCTCGGTTCGGATGGCCAGAGTCATTTTTATGACATAATTGACGACATATTACTGGCATTTTGTTTTTCTCACATTACTTGAATTCTTGGTTGTCTACAACAAAAATATTTAAATTGATATTTGTTACAGAGATTTAATTTGCAAATTTAAAAATAATGTTACAGTAGTTAAGAACTGGAATTAGTTTAAAAGTAAGAAGAACTGGTATACATAGCTAACACAATGAAGCATCAGCAAAGTATTGAAATTATGAAGAATAAGAATCAGAGTGAAATGTATTGAGCATGGATGAAAAGAAGTGACATACTGTAATGAATGAGATTGAGTGGCCTTTTGCTTTTACTTAAGGATTTTCCAAAACACTGATTGATTTGTATTTGAGAATAAATTGTAGTATTATTATGAGATGCAAATCCAATT